TTAATCCACTCCGACGTCGAATTTTGTCACAACGTTCTCTAGGTGGCCCTGAATAGCTGAATGGGCTGTAGGACTATTTCCTTCTTGCGGTGACAAAATCGCCAGGTAGACTACTAGAAGCGGCCGCCCCTGATAGATCTCACAACATGAGGACTGAAGAGTAGGTGGGACTGTAGCGGTGGACGGTAGGCCGGTGAAGGTCGGAAGTAGACTAGAAGAGCGGTGCCCTCCCTTATAAAATATTAACAAAGACTCAAGAGCCGGGTACCCTCCTATAAACATAGACTCTATAGCGGTTTGAAAATTTGAAGATTGAACACCCAACGAAGCTAAGTTATACCTGTAACTCGTGATTGATTATGATCATGACATTCAAGGATGATAATTTATTAAAGAAGTCATGGAGTTAATGAACATTTTCATTTACTTATTATACATATATCATTTAACTAATAAATATAAGTGATAACTTAATAATTTAAGGATTATCGTCGGTCTCCAACGTCTTCCAAATGATTGAAATATTCCCCTGCTACTCAAAATGGTAAAACGTTCTTCGTTATTTTAGTGAACTGTTCGTACAATGTGATTACGCTAAAGCAGGAGTACCGAACAAGTTCGTGCAGATCAATTAGAAATGAGGATCGCATCGCGTACGCTTTAGCGCCTACTAAGGATATCACATGTTCATCAATCTGGTGACGGACTGATTCAATCAGATCCCATCGCAGAGCGAAATCTTGTAGGATTCGAAGGTATGGTATAAATATCCACGGAGTAATCCAGTTTTCGTATATCAAATTCGATTTCCAACTCCACATCTACAACTACCTCAATATCAAAGTGATAACAGTCTTTCACCTCCTTAGAAGCCCATCATCATCCGGCGACGAACAGCCGGCAACCATCAAACCTTGTCCTGAGCTGCAAGGATTTCGCTACGGAAAGGATGGAAAAAACTACCCAAGACGCCGTCAAGCTTGGCGATGGTGTCCAATCAATCACGAGTACAAATGTATAACATAGCATTCTATCGTTGAGTGTTCAAATCTTCAATTTCAACCGCAATAGAGTCTCATGTTATAGGAGGGTACCGCATTCGTTGCTTGTTCAATCTCAAATTTTTCAACCGAAATAGAGTCCTCAGTAATAGAGGGTTACCGCTCTAGAGTCCCCATGTTATATCTATATAAGGGAGGGCCGCTCTACAAGTCCTACTTCCAGACCTTCACCGCCTACAGTCCACCGCTCAACAGTCCACCGCTCTACAGTCCCGCATTTTAGGATCGTACCGCTCTAAGAAAGTCCTCATGTTTGTTGAGATCTATAAGGGCGGCCCGGCTCTAGAGTCCTACCCTGGCGATTATGACAAACCGGCGCTACAGTCCTAACTTCCGACCTTCACCGACCTACATTCCTACGCTCCAACAAGTCCCACCGCTCAAAGTCCTGCTCCCGCTGAATGACTATTCGAAACCCAAACCCCACTAATTCTGATCCCCAACCCTAACACTTAATCCAATCCCTAACAAAGCATATGCTGGAACCCAAACGAGAAATAAGATCACTTCCTTACGGGTAAACCGCCCTAGAAATGTCACCCCCACCCCTAAACGGCCACACTTGAATGATTTGATCCCATCTTCTTAGAAAGTATTTACCTAATCATTTGTAACTCCTAAACATAAAAAAATGTCATTCAGACCCTGCACAACCTAAATTGAATCTAAATGATGCCATAAGGGCATTTTTTTCAATTTTGTTACGAATTTTTTACTTTTGAAAATAGCGCACAATTTATAACTCTGGAATTCATTAATATTAACTCGGATTTTGTCTAAATAGTGATATTTACATATTTTAGCAGCCTATTTTTAGTTATACAGTACTCAATATTACTACCCTCCCCTAAAATGTCAACTGGCCGCCCCCTAAAATGTCATTTTATCAGATTCTGGGCTTTGAGACTACAGGCACCAAAAAATGGAGGTAACCAGCCTATTAAAAACATCATATTACATTCTAATGGTAATATTGGAAAGCTATGGCAGCTCAAATGAATAGTTTTACTTTAAATTAATCGCAATAAAACATCCCTAAAAAAATGACTAATTATCCCCCCTAATATTCATTTTAACCTGATCAAATTAATCACTTTTCCTAAATGCAATGCTACTCACATAGCGTTAATAGTTGATGGTTAATAATTAACAAGTGCCAAACAAGAGCTATTATTGCACACCATGTGAATAAAATACAAATTTGAGGACATTTTAGGGGAGCAAAAAAATGTAACCTTTAGGGGGCAAATCCTAGGTTTAAACCATAACTAGTACCAAAAAACCTAGTTTTTGACATTCATTTTGCTAAAAAGCAGTTCAAATCTAGTCCTATAAGAAGGGTCAGATCGATTTAACTGGGTACTTGGGTTGGCTTAGTTAACCTAAAGGTCACTAAAATTGCCAAAATGCAGGATGATGTTAAAAATCCCAAAAAAATGCAATAAAACATGCAATTTGCACTAGGTTAAAATCACCTTGAATCCATTTCTTTTGTGCCAATTGTTAGTTTACAACTAATAATCTAACTACAGGTGTAAAATATGTTGACTAGTTACTGTTTTGCCGTAAAAAAAAAAGTTATCTGGTATTCAAAAAAAAGTCCCCAAAATGTCACAAACGTAAATTGACTCTAAATTCCACCAATTTTTTTCAACAGAGAGAGAAATTCTGGTCGACAACCTCTCCAGAAATAGGTTATATTTGTCCAGAAGTGTTAAAATTAATAATGAGCAACATTCTGAGTGCTACACAACTGTTTTAGCTGACGTTTTAGGGGTGGTCACGTGACATTTAAGGGGTGATAACGGTTTTGAGGTACTTTTCCTTGGTGATGAATGTTTTCAAGTAGCTTAATGGTTTTAATGAAGACAAAACAAATAGTACTAGTGGACAAAATATAAATCAGGGCCTCCTGTAACATTTTGTAAATTATACACATATGGAGTAGACATTTTAGAGGGGTGGTGTTTTTAAAAGTGATCCATTTCCACACAAAAAAATTGTACCTGATTTTATTTTTCAAATTTCAAATCTTCCTGGCATCTAGAAAAAGGTTTTAAATATTCTTCCGAGACACATCAGAACCCTGTAAATTTTAGCCCTAACTAACTCGGCAATCTGGCCAAAAAAACAGGTGACTTTTTAGGGCGGCTTACCCCGTATAATGTGAAGACGCCTGCCACAATATTTGGCAGCTCCTGCTAAAACAATTAAAAATACAAACCTTTCTATCACTTATATGTTTTAAGGGACCATACACCAAAACCTTTTAGCAGACCCGGGATTGACTTCCATATAATGAAATGTATAATTACAACTGTAAGATTTGGAGGCATCGAAAAAATTTTTTTGAGAGTTCGCACATTCGAAAAAAAAATTATTTTCTTTTTTCGAAAGTTTTGGAAATTTTTGAGAAGTCTGGTCACTGTGATACCGATATTTCATCATTTAAACTTTTTGGCTGATTTTTTAACTGAACATTATTTACAATGCGTACAAGAGCCCTTTAAAGGATTTTATAATTAAAGAATAGATGACGAAGTTACAGACCCAACAAGGTCGAGAGAAGCAAAATTGAAATTTTTGTAAAAATCAAAGTTGTAATATATTTTACCCATTCACCCAGGTCATAAGATATCGCTCCACAAATTCTTGTGAGTGTAGCTGATGATCATAACCAACTTTTGTGGTACAGGGGATTTCTCTCAATTTTTGAGTTTTAAGGTATGAAATGGGGCCTCAAACGATTAGTAAAATTCATCGTAAATAAAGCCAAACATGGCAGATTTAAGGCTTTAAAAATGCCTATAACTCCAAAAAAGCATCATTTTTTTTTTGAAATAAATTTTTTACAGGAATCGTAAATCAGCTTGAGAACAATCTTTTAGTACCAAATAGGTTATTCTAGAAGTCTTACTAACTTCTAGATGGTTGATTTTATTTTTTCCGGGGTTTTTTCCCGAAAGTATACCTCAATCCCTACCAATAGTGATTGGTAGTGATTCAGTCCGTTAGGGATTCAGTCATGTAGTGATTCGGTCCGTTCACCACGCTGATTCGTGGAAGCAGTTACAACAGGATTCTGAGCCGTTGCAGTATATAATTAAATGAAGTGTGGTAATTAGATTTTACCACTTTGTTTAAATCAACATTAGGTACTCTAGATTCCAGTGTAGCGGTCTATGTAAATATCCAGCTATGAAAAACCGTATTTTTGCTCATTAAAATGAGTTAATCGATACTACGCTCATTGTAAATTATTTAAAGTTAAATTTTCAAGATTGTGCTATGCCACTTCCTTTGAACCCGGTTTTCTCAGACATTTTACTTCCCAGACATTTCTCATTTCTGAGAAGCTGTCAACCTGGTAGAGAGCATACTCGCAGCTCTATAAAATAGCTTTTGATAAAACGTCTCGAACTGCGAGTTTAGGCTAAAGTAACGACTATATTGCCCACGAAGATTCTGCAAATTTGATTTATCTTCATGAATTTAATGATATAGGAAACTCTTAATCTTTCAAGCGTAATTATGACTTTAAAGTTTAAATCTAATGACTGAAAGTGCATAATCATTAATCAGCAATGAAATCTTACGAAATACAGCAATATTCTTGATATTTAAGTTTGATGAAGATATAATGATATAACTCCAATTAGTCTTCGAGAATTAAATGATATATTATGGGGACTGTCGCACTGCAGCATGATGAACATACTTAATATACATACCAAGAAATTCATCCGGTTGGTTACCTGTATTGCACAATCACAGCTGGTATTTTATAAAAGTGATGACAAGTGAAGAGGTTTGAAGGAATTTAAAGAAGACCACAGCTCTGTGGAGTTTAATCGTGGTTTCCCTGTTAGAGCATTCGATTTTAATTAACCAAAGTTAACGTTTGACTGTCGCTACATTCCCAACACTGTTCTGTCCACAGGATACCTTTGAACGAGGTATGGAGATACACGCCAAGATGACCATGTTTGCGGAGGGTTGCCATGGTCACCTCTCAAAACAACTGTTTGATAAGTTTGAACTCAGGAAGAACTGCCAGCCCATGACATATGCAATTGGAATCAAGGAGGTAAGTCAGTACCGCTGCTCTTTTATTGTTTTCTTCTAAGTTGAAGTTTGAATTTGACACCGTGTCATCTCACAAATAGACGACAATCACATATTATAATATATATGGTGACGTGTTACAATATAGTCACGTGTTACAATATAGTCACGTGTAACAATATAGTCACGTGTAACAATATAGTCACGTGTTACAATATAGTCACGTGTAACAATATTGCAGTTGTGGGAGGTTCCAGAAGAGAACCACGAGCCGGGATTAGCAGTACACACGGTGGGCTGGCCCATGGAGCACACAACGTACGGGGGTGGGTGTTAAACTTAGTTTATAAATTAATTCTTGTTAATAAGTTAATATGAGAAAATACTACAATATAATCAAGGTACGATGTTGGATACCTGAGTTCTATATCTTTCGATAGCAACTCCATCTATGTATCTGCTTAGCTTCCATCACTGATCCTGGTACTTGAGATTCCAGGTGTGGCTTTAAACAATGTTTTAAGGGCCCAACACTCAGCTCACTCAGTTGATGGTAGAACAGTGGGTCTTTGTGCGATGTTGTAGCAGGGACTCCACTTCTTGTTTTCTCTTGCTAACCAGATTGCATAGGAACATCTGAGAGCAACCAAAGCCGCCTCTTGGAACACTGCTTTCTTTACTCTCTTTGTAACACCAAAGTAGTTTAGTAGGGCTGGTAAGGTATGATGCCAGAAGCCTCTACACCCAACCTCTACCGTAAAAAGCTGAGCTTTCCACCCACTGCCATGCAGCCCAGGAATAAGCTCTCTGTTGTAACGTGCTTGTTTACGTTCTACTTGGTCACTAAAGTTACTCTCGTCACCAACTGTCAACTCTACTAATATGACCACCTTTCCTTTATCAGACCAGACTACAATATCGGGACGTTCTGCAGTTCCGTAGATGTGCTGGGGGAACTGTGCTGGGAGGTTATCTTCGTCCCAGATAATCTGCCAATCTTGGTCTTTCTCAAAAGGGCTCTCTCTTTTCATCTTCGTCTTCGGTTTTTGGTAACAGCTGCTAGATGACTTGAAGCCTGTCCAGTCCTGAACTTCAAGTTTAAAATCTTTGTTGTTGAACTTCTCGATTTGATCCAGTAGTGATTTCGCAATGACCCGCAGCACGTTGTCATGCCTCCAATTGTATCGTTTGTTGTTCAGCGAGAAGTTGCAAGCTACCAAAATGTGCTTAATGTTGCAGTGTCTCCATCCGCAAAGTGGACAGTGTCCTGTGTCAGCATAGTTCCACAGGCTCATGTTTGCTGGAGTATTTGCAACGTCATGGGTTGCATTGAGGTGGAACTTAAGAAGAGCAGGGCTCATCTTGTAGTTGTAAATAAGGTTGTTCCAACCTAGGTCTAGCTGCATGGTGTTTTCCCATGTTAAGAATTGTCCTTGAACTCCCTTGTCTACCAGTGTCAACAGGATATCCTGCTCTGAGATGTGGGATACCAGTTCTTTCAGTTTTTCCTTTTCACTGGCTACACTCCTCTTGGATCCCAAGCCCATCCTGCCTTGCACTGTTACCCCTACTAACTCTCTGAAGTAGAGATCTCTTTCTCTAGCACTCAGCTCATTAGTGTAACCCCACCGACTGCTCCCTTCTTGTTTCTTGGCCCTGTGCTCGTAGACCTCCTTAACTTTAGGATCCTTGCTGTTCTTTAGAGAGTAACCTTTGGACACCTGAAGGAACTTGTATAAGTCCGATAGTCTTTTAAGATTCAATCCAAAGCAATCCTTATTTCTGTAAAGCACACTGACAGTAATTGTCTTTGTTACACCTAGCCATTTCTTCAGATACTTCGTATATATTGCTTCAAGATCTTTGACAAAACTAACCGGGAGATTGTAGATCATCAGGTCCCAGGAGAGCTTGCTGGTTAGGAGGTTGTTGTAAATCCAGCATTTCATCACTCCATTAAGGCCTGATCCGTCCACTGCCTGAAACAGTGTAATCAGTTTGTCTTCTATCAGCTTCTTGGTATCTTTGAGGCCCAGATCCACATATATCCAATGGCCAAGAAACTTCATCGGTGTATTTCCAATAAACTGGATTTGAGCTCCATCTATGAAAATTTCAGGGTCATAGGACACATACCTTCCATCTATAACCTTCATCCCCAGGGATACGCATTTACTCGGCTTGGCTTTCATTTTCCTTGACCAAGTAAGAAATCTTTCCATCACATCTATTAGCTTCTTCATCTTTTCCAGCCTGGGAGACATCAGAGTTAGGTCGTCAGCAAAAGCACGACTTGACGTGCTGCTAGAACTAAAAGACGGCTTGTAACCCAAGTCGCTTTGATTTATAAGTTAATAAATAAGTTAAAAGGTTAATAATTTAATAAGTTAACATTAATTAATAAGTTAATATTACTGAATATATACTAGTCAATAAGTTAATTTTGGTTAATAAGCTACCAAATTGGCGGGCTTAGAAGTTTATTTTATATTCACTATTCAGTCTAATAATTTAGTCTAAAATAACTTATATAGGGGTTCCGTTCAGGCCCTTGACACTTTGTTTCTGTCTGGTTCTAATATACCGTTACAATAATGACTTTAATATGATATTAAGCTCGATCAGTAAGTAATGTGCTAACCTCTCACTTCTCTGTCAGGAAGTTTTCTCTACCATATTAACGATGGTCCTCTGGTGGCTTGTGGTTTTGTCACCGCACTTGATTACAAGAACACCTACTTGTCCCCTTTTAAAGAAATGCAGGTATGCTGATCACGTGACATGTTCGGAATTGCTGCATATTATGGTTTTCTAATATTAATTTCCATTATTTTGTCGAGCCCTGTGACTCCCTATTACGCTATTGCTTCCCCGGTGTCACATTTAAATTAGTGACAAATTCAAATTATATTGTGACAGGTATTGTATATTGATTTAATGTTACCTGAGGCGCGAAATGGAAAAGTTGAACTCGAAATCAACCACTCAGCCTTGGGTATATTTTATATTATACTGCTCATATTAAAATAAATATATATTATAAGGTGCTCAATAAAGATTTTCGGTAATATCCAACTATTGACATTAAAGTAGCTGTCAGAGAGCTGCTTGAGTGGTAATTGAAAGCGGCGCTTTACCAGTTAGATGATTTCCATCGGGGAAGTTGCCACTTCATGGTTGTATCATATCATAATATATAACGCTAACTCTTCGATAGCTTGATAGACATTCAAAACGCTCATCAGTCCTTATTTGATGTGATAAAAACTGACTGCCAAAGAAATAGAAAACTACTAGCTTCATCCCTGTTACCACGGGCTTTCTATATTATGAAGATAAGGCTATATAAAGTACAATAAATAACCAAAAACTGTCCAATTTCCGCCAGACTGTCACAAAACGAAAATAGCAAAATTAGGGTTAACATCTTAAATTTGAATTTTCAGAGGTGGAAGACGCACCCTAAGATAGCTGCACATCTTGATGGTGGTGAGAGGATTATGTACGGGGCGCGGGCTCTCAATGAAGGAGGATACCAGTCTCTTCCAGAAATAGTGTTCCCAGGTTACTAGAATTATAGTATTTACACTTTACGGGTTATTACAAATATTATTTACACTTTACCAAATGTTAGAGCATGTGTTCCGCCTTCACAATTATCAATTACCGATTACCTAACGATTATATGCCAATAACCGATTACAATTACAATTCCCCCAACGACCCTGTGTTCAGGTGGACTGATGATGGGCTGCAGTCCTGGGTTTTTAAACGTTCCCAAGATAAAAGGGACTCACACGGCCATGAGATCCGGCATTATCGCTGCTGATGCCACCTTCGACAGTATAGTGAACGGTCACCTCTCCATGGAGAAAGGTATTGTTTATTGCGCGAGTAACGCATCCGGTCGAAAGTAGAAGTCTGAATTTTTCCCTTTTGACACATTCAATACTGAGTGTCATTTCATTTCATTAATCAAAGGACCTGCCTGTCACGTATATTTGCTTTATCACGTCACTACAAACCACCTGTCAACCACGAAATTAAATGGAATTCTTGATGGATACCTCGAATCAATTAATAAAAATCAATTTTCAAGTCCTCTTGAAGTGGAAGTAAAAACAAAAATGTGTATTACACGGAACAATCTCCGTTATTAACTTCTTGCTTCTATCAAAGGTTAAACACTATAATAAGTATAGAAGTCTACTGTCCCCTTCTATTAAATTGTTCTTAATTAACTCCTGACGTCTGTCAAAGTTTAACTACTATAAAAGCCTTCTCTCCTACTTCTATTAAATTATTGTTAATTAACTCTCTCTACCAAAGTTTAACTACCATAAAAAGTGGACCCTCTCACATCAAAGTTTAAACCCCCACTTTTATTCAGGTGAGGTTTTAGAAACTTACAAAGAAGCGCTAATGAACAGCCACGTGTGGGAGGAGCTGTACGCTTGCCGGAATGTAAGACCTTCTTTCTGTACAAAGGCTGGTCTATGGGGAGGTGTGTAGATTGAATACTTTTAAACTTTAAAGCAACTTCAACTGAATATAAACTGAATAGAACCCGGAACACCATTAATTGAATCTCAAAAAGCATAATATGATACAGAATGTTTATGTACATTGCATTAATTGCATAATGCATATGTTGCATAATAATTATCAATTAAAATCAATTAATTACCGCCAGGAATGTTGTACACGGGATTGTTCTACGTGGTACTTGGAGGAAAAGAGCCCTGGACTCTGAAACATCACGGAGCTGACAGTGACTCTCTACTCCCTGCTGAACAGAGCAAAGTCATTGAATACCCTAAACCAGGTTAGAAGTTTTATTAGAATGAACAGGATACCCTAAACCAGGTTAGGAGTTTTATTAGAATGAACAGGATACCCTAAACCAGGTTAGGAGTTTTGTTAGAATGAACAGGATACCCTAAACCAGGTTAGGAGTTTTATTAGAATGAACAGGATACCCTAAACCAGGTTAGGAGTTTTGTTAGAATGAACAGGATACCCTAAACCAGGTTAGGAGTTTTATTAGAATGAACAGGATACCCTAAACCAGGTTAGGAGTTTTATTAGAATGAACAGGTCATGGATACTGGAGAGAATGAAATGCTCACTATCAGGAGAACCGGCATTGATATAAAGGGGTGGAACCGGAGTTCAACTGTATATCTTCCAGAACGGAACTATGTAGATATAACTTGGGGCTCAAAACCTGATTATCAACTATCTTGGCCTGCTACCTTGAAGTTAGCTCTAGTTTATAATCTAAATTTCCCAGATAACAAGCTGACGTTTGATCTGCTGTCCTCGGTGGCACTGTCCGGTACTAACCACGAGGGTGACCAGCCCGCTCATCTCACTCTCAAAGATGACTCTGTTCCTGTGGAAAGGAACTTGGGTCTGTTTGACGGACCCGAACAAAGGTTTGTACTTTCTTCGAAATAAAATGAGAATTGCGAGCTTTTAGGATACTTGTAGTGTAAAAGCAACAAATAGTGGAAAAGAATAATCAGCTGAGAATATCTAGAAGCTTTGTACAGAAATTGTAGGCTAATAGATAGACATAATGAGACAGCTCCAGACAGTTCTTACTGGAATCCCCCCCCCCGCCCCTACAAGAAGTAAAATAAAAGTGCCATGGAAAAATCTCCGTTATTTTCTAGAATTTTTGTACAGAAATAGACATTCAATTTCCGACAGTTGGAAACTATACGAAGCCAGCAAATTCTAGTACAAAGGATTCTAGAAAATGTGAAATATGATGATGAAGGATTAGCACTTTCATGTGTGGTGTTTTTTAATCCTGTGTTATCCTCTCAATACTGAAAACACTCGATTATAACCCATGGTTTAAGGTTTACGTTTCAGAACTGTTTTCAAAAGTTATTATCTTGTTTAATTTGTGTTTTGATGTTGACACGGTCACCACTCACCACAGAGCACGTGCATATCAATAAACAATAAATATGATTTTCGCATCATATTCAAAATTTCGCGGTCATGTAATATCAGATCAAATTCAGCCGCTTTGTTTCAAGAAATGTACTGTTTGAAGAAATGTATTGGTTGTGCCTTGTACTAGATGTGTACACTTTACAGCCTAGTATTAAAAGTTTACACGACAGTATATTGCGTAGTGACTAGTGTTTGTTTGTTTGTTTGTGGACCAGCTTTTGGTACACTGTTTAATGTAACTACATAAAATGCTGAAGAGTAATAGTCTTCATATCCATCTTGAAAGAAGCCCGCTATTTGTTTGAAATTAGATTATACGGCTGTTCCGCTGATCACACAAATACGGCATATCCCATATCCCTTCAAGATGCTACAAGTTTAAGTCTAAGGAAGTAGATACTTTAAAAATATGTGGATAAATTGTTCTTCGACACAAATGTGCACAATATGCGTAAATCAGTGGAATTTTTATGTTCGTATCCTTGTTCGTATCAGTGTGAGGGTTTGATTTTTGTGAATTCATGTAGACACGACACTTTCCTTGTGGCCATCATCAGCATTTCTAGATCCTTCTCAGATGGTATAATTAGATGGTATAATTGTGCAAACTTGTATAACCACACAGTGTAATTTGCAGTGTGTAGTATTCGCTGCGTATCGGGAGCTAACATTGAACACCTGGCCTCAATGTATGGGTTCTGTCTCCCCACTGAATCCTCAGTGGTACCCTCGAATATAGTTCAATAAACGCACATACATTATACATAGCGTAATTATGGTATTCTGTTAGATCGCTATATTTTATGCTATTGTATAGTTCTCTTCTAAGCACTTGTAGTTACTTAGGTGACTTATTATATTGGTTTAACAGGAGGGATTTGTTATTATTATGTTTCCTAAAATGTTAAAGCTATGAAAGGTAAATATATAGTTCTATTGTTGTGATATAGTTTCATCTCATATGACATATTGGGTCGATGCCAATTTAGTTTGTGTACCGTAGGTTGATGTGGTTACGAGTAATGAGGTGTCGTGTTACTATGGTTACTCAGTATACCACTCTATAGTTCTCTTTATCCTGTAGTGTACTGTGCCAAGGTACACACTACACAGTGTGTACTGTGTACCTTGGCGGGTACTGGGTTCCACGCTAGTTGCACCTGTCAATTATTGACGTTGGATTGATTAGATGCTGCTTAGATCTTGCTTACAACTCTCGAACGTTCTAGATTTACACTTCAAGAAACGCCCAGGATATTCATTTGTCAAATCATAGCATTTATGGTCGTCAACAGAAGTTCTAGAAAGATGTTCTCTGCTCTAGAAATTTCCAGGATATTCATTTGTCATAATACATATTGTCAACAACAGAAGCAAATTTATTATGTGCAATTAGCTTTTGTTTGAGTCTTGCTGTTATTGAGAGCCCCTAAGATTACGTCCAACCACCTTATCAGGTCATGTATATTGTATACTGCACTGTATAGTGTATACTGCACTGTATAGTGTATACATGTCCTGACCCGAATTGTACACCTGTACTTGTCATACTGGGCACCAATCACCATTTGTCAGTCTCGTATTTCCTGCCCCTAGAACCCTGGTAGATCATATCAGATGACTAATAACATCCAATTTAACCCCCGGGGCCCCCTCTCTTAATAACAACAGAGTAATTCGATGGTTAATGGTTATCCCCCGTTCAATATGTTTCCTTGCGTTCAGGTTCTGTCCAGCGGGAGTGTACGAATACGTGCCAGAAGATGTTGGTGACGGATACAGATTACAGATAAACGCAAGTAACTGCGTGCATTGCAAGACATGTGACATCAAGTGTCCCTCCCAGAATATCAACTGGGTGGTGCCTGAAGGTGGAGGTGGTCCTGGTTACAACGGAATGTGAATCTCTGATTTAAAAACATTTTCACGCTCCGTCTCCCCGCCCCATTTTAAAACTCTGATTTATAGGCTGCACAAATCACATACTGTATAGTATGCACGCCGATTTTTGGGGCCTGACAAGATAAGATAGGGCGTCCTGTTATCAGTATCTAGAAAGGAAATTTGACCCCGTTTCCTTGATATTCCATTAGATCAAAGCACGCTGCACTGTGCACATTATAGTTTTGTATATATTGTGTTTTACAATATGCAAGTGCTGATAAGGAAAGAACTTAGGTTCTATAGCTTTTGGTGACCCTCCCATTTCAATACTAGTGTCCAGTGATATTGGGTGCTAGATTGTCGAATTAGGAATGTTCTTAGGTACTCTTAATATTTTTGTCTTTTGCTATAGTTTATAATTTCCTGTTGAGCTGTGTATAGTACTGTACTTGTACGCTGTCTGAACAATGCAGAGTACCATATCCCAGGAATATCGAAGCCTCTTTTGTTTAATTTTTATTAACTTATTGTGACCCTTCCTAAAGATAAATTAAACTAAAATAAATGTTAAAGTTCAGTTGTGTGTTTGCGAGTTCTGCTCGATCCAGTTTTATGGAGATCTTTTGAGATGTTATATTGCAGTATGTGTTTTTGATAATTATGATTTCCATGTTAGTTAATAAAATAGCCGGTTTTATTTATTTCGGTTGGATTTGTGCCAATTTATATTTATCATGCTAGGTAATTTGAGCATAACAATCGAATTATACATCCGATTATGTTAAAAAGAAATTAAAGCCAAACACCACGCCGTGAAATATCGGCCCATCAAGCTTATCTTAACTCGAGAAACTTATTATTATCAGTCATAATTATCATTATCAGTCATAAAATTATCATTATCAGTTACATCGTAATCAGAACTTAAAAGGTATCATGTAATGAGAAGTGAGCTGATTATTTAGTAGAGACTAGATGTGACAGCTCCAACTATTATAATAACACGGGACCTAATGATAATGATATGCAACAAGTCTCAGCCAAGCACCTCCTCTCCTCTCTCCTCTGGGAGCTCTCTCTTAATTATAATATTACAACTTACACTCATCACGTAGTCGGTGCTTTCTCGCTTCCTTTCTGCACGTATTGCCATCACCAAGTTGAGTCTCTCTTCCAATCCCTCTACTCTATATCGTATATTTTTTTGATTTAAGCTATTTTTTGTAGTTTGATATGGTTTGTTTTTTAATAAAGTAAAGTTGTTTGTCTGATTTGTTAAATAATTGTAGTGGAGATGGTTTTTGTTTTTGTTTGATTTGTTAAATAATTGTAGTGGAGATGACGGCTAGCAAGAAGCAGCAGCGCTGGTATTTGGGTGGGATGGGGGCTTGTATGGCTGTCCTCTTCACTCACCCGCTAGATACTATTAAAGTCCACCTCCAGACTCAACAAGGTATGTTACTCATTTATATTACTGGTATACCCAATTTATTTTATTTTTTCGGTTATTTTACCTTTTTTCCAAGTCAAAATCCAGGAGACTAAAAATATCTATTGTAATACTTTGAAACTTGTTTAATTAATGAAATGATCTTATTGACCATGGGAAAATGGTAAATATGGAGATTATTATGGAGATGGTCACTTTATATCCCCAATATTGGTTCCATTGGTGATGTCCCAATTGTATGTCACAGTAAATTTAACGGCACGGTTAAACTCTAAGTTTGTTGCAGTTTTGCTAATTGCTCCGTAAAAAAACCTTATTCAAGTTAAATGTACTTTTTAACGTGCTCGATTTTACGATTATTCATAACCGTGACGTCCGCCTACTTGACCGAATCATTTGAAATGGTCAGCAATCGTGGTCGTTGTATAGCAGTTGTATCTCGGTTACAAAAACTTGAATCAGATGTTTAACATACTATACCTGTCTCGACATTAATTGACAGACATGACGCACATCAACTTAACCGACGTATTCGACATGGTTATTCATGACAACTTCGATTGTCTGTCAAGTCTATGTGAGTTTGTATCGGTGCAAAAACTTAAATATGCTTTTAAAAGTACCAAATTGTACGATTATATATAGTCAAGTTGGAGTAACTCGTGTAATTTCACTGCAGAACAGTGTCACTATCAACCATGAAGCCAATTTAAGTTTTAACCGATAAAGTACTATCGAAATAACAGTAAATTAAAATATATGTATATATATGCACTAACAAATTAAATAATAACTAACAAATCTACAGATAATAATAACTCCAGGAAAAGATCCAGTACACAGGGTGCTTGTGAAAACTCTGAAAACTAACGGGATTATGGGGATATACAGTGGTCTTTCAGCGTCAGTCCTAAGACAGGTATTAATTGTTCCTCACTGCAGCTGCTTTTTAATTTTATTATTTCAGAGCTTTTAATCTAGAAGTGAAAGAGATTCTCCATATTATGGTGCTAGGGTGTGCCGTGTGGACTAGCTACAGTATACACCTCTTTAAAATGTATTTATTTGTAGATGTGAAAATATTTTATTTATAGATTATGTATTTTATTTGGGATGATACTAATACGTTAATCTACAAATCCACAATATTGTGTATAAACCATGATATGTAATAATTACCGCCGCCAGGCTACTTACACCTCCGTGAGATTTGGAGCGTATGAAGTAGCACGTGCTCGACTAACCCCGCCGACGGTACACCCTTTACCCTTCACTACTAAGGCAAGTTTATTCAGATGACATTTTGGGTATTTTTACTGTGTTAATTTTTTGAAAAAACAGGATATAATTTTTGAGAACTTTTGATCCTTGTACTGTGAATTGATCTTTAAGTTTTCCTGTAAAGTTTTTTTGACGGCCCCAACGTTAATGTGGCTCTTGCTATGTGTTGGTTCAGCGAATTAATTATTATGTAATCAAGTTTATTTTTCTCTTTTAGTTAGTTGTCATCCGGCCAAACATTAAGCAATTTATTGCAGTTCCATTTATCAATTAGTATATCAAAATATGTCATTGTAATTTTGCATGGCTGAAATGTAACGCTTGATTTATATATATAATAATTAATTGAATTTTCAAATAAAAAAAAAAGTAAAGAAAATCTCGAATTCCCCAAATATCAAATATGTTGCAATCATCCTCAGCCTAGCCTCCATCCACCGAACCATAATATGAATATTCCTAATAGAAATAGTAATGGGATCGTCAAATTATTCGCTGCAATTTAATCAACTAACTCCACGGAAACGAACTTTAAAATTAATAAGGATTTATATAATGTTATATTTATTATATTAAATTAATATTGTATTAATTTCAGGTTATGCTGGCTGCTGGGGAGGAGCTATAGGAATTCTTGCGGGTAAGAGTCTCCTATTTAAATTATAGTTATTTTAGGGGGGGGGGTGAAGAGGGGGGGGGGGGAGTGTCGGGGGGGGGGGGAGAATGGGGGGGGGGGGGGGGGGGGGGGGGGGGGAGGGGGGGGGTGGGGGGTTGGGGGGGGAGTGGGGCTGATTTTGATAGAACAATTTTTGTACCACCCCTCCATTCTGTCTCCATTCCATTCAAAGCTCTGTGTTGGCTAATTGTAAATCTCATTTTTAACTTAATGTTGGAGTAAAGAAGCGTGTCGCATGTGGTTTCTTTCCTTCCATCCTTACTAAATAGTCTTAGCTTAGTTTAGATTGCTTAATATTGTTTCTCCTTCAAATTTCCATTGCCATTCACACAGTGAGATTATTTTATTTAATTACGGGTTTGATTTGTGGTATGGTACCTAGTTTGAAGCATGTAAGATTTTGAGGCACGCATGGATGTGAAAAAGTCTTGTAACATTAGGCTATTTACTCTTGGGCTATTTCTCATGATTTTGAAATTACAATTAATCTTTCTGTTTTGTATTGACTCTGATTCCAACGCAATTACGTCAATGTTGACCTGTGTTTTAAAATATTCCCCTTTATCTTTATTTTTGGATGGATTCTACGTGATTTTACAAATGAATTTATAGGTTTTAAATTTTCATGTGGGTGGATTTATGAGCTTTGGTATGGGTGGGCAACTGGTGTTATGGGGATAGAAAGTTTACAAAATATCGGAGAATCACTTTCTAAAAACATTTTAAGATACTCTATTCGTAAAATGATTCATATTAACGCCAAATTGATCATGTCCTATTACGCCTTTTCTAACCGGAACACGAATTGCCGATGAATAAACCCCCAAACGGCTGAATTGAATTTTTATGTGAGTTCGTAAATCAATGACATGATGCCCATTGCACAACCCTCCAGTCTCCAATTAAATAATCACCCTCGTTTTTAAGTGCATACATTAACAAATCTCTTATATTCGCATTATAAAGTTATTATTGTGTATAGATTTATTTGTATTTATGATAAATGAAAGCCCAGCCACACTATTGCTTCAAATCTTACTCTTTTGTTTATTATAAATATCCGAAGCTGAGGCCATATCTGGGAGCTAATACTTTCGTTTTTTAGCGATTTTTTGTGAAAAGCATGTTTAAATAACAAAAAAAATTAGCACTTATTACTGCTGCACTTTGGTAAAGAACTTATAAAGTGTTCGAAAACCTAAAGTTAACAATCTGACCACTAATCGAGACTTGTTGTTCCACCAGGTAAACCCAGCGAGATGTGGTAAACGTGAGGAATGCAGAATGACAAGAGGTTTGGCCGGTATGCTAAGCGAGACTGGGCAACAGAAACCGTAAAATCCACGTACTAGGCCACCATAGTACGATCCGAGGATTCTGGCGTTGTACCCGGGGTCTCCAGGGCAAACATTCCCCGCTCCATCCCTGAATTAAACATTGGTCAGGTGGCTTGCTACGCGACCAGGCAAACAAGTGCTACAGTGTGAGGTTGGGGATTTTTAGAGGATGAAGTATGAATCCATCCCCACTTCACTTTCTATCGAGCTTTAAATCCGCCGGTGACCCCATGCAACCACTCTGACACAACCTGTGGGATTTATCAAAACCCAGGGCTTATGCAGGTCACAACAATTTAAACTCAATAAAAGAGGATATCGTGGCAACCGCCAAGAGGGCCCTCATGCGTTCTATAAATGGTTTCGGGTGCCCCGCTTGGATCAGACTCATGCAGCCCTCAGACACAATATTACCCTTGGTTTGTATTTTTGGAACGCCTTAGATCAATATTGCCCTCCCTAAGTCATGCGCTAATAGTTCGTATTGTGCCTGAGAGGTTTAAATATATTGAAGGGAATAGAACAATGAACAATGAACAGACCCTGTTTATAACATAAATCAAATTATTAAATATTTTATAATCCGTTGAAACGGTTCAGTAGGGTAAGGTTACAATCCATTTCGAATTTCTTGTAGCTCGTTAAAATTAGTCAAAACTTCTGCAACCCTAGAGATTTTCCCGGTTTTTATTTATTGGAAACTGATTATAAATTTATATAATTATATAAAATCATTATATAACATAATAATGATAATTATATTATGATTAATTAAATAAGTTATTGACTAATGAGTTAGGACTATGTATAGACAACATTTTAGAAAATTATCCAATGATTGAAGACGGCAATCTTTATTACACCTAAATCTACCAAAACTTCTTATATTAATAAATTTAAATACACTATTTTTTCGATTTATTTTTACGCGTCGGTATCAATTAGATTGGATATTAATGAGTTTTAAGTTATTGCAGGTTGAATTGGTGGAATTGCAACGTGGAATAATGTCAGTATTCCATAAGAACCCCAAACTGACAAAGACATTAATTGACATTAATAGACATTAATTAGACATTAAATTGACATTAATTACATTAATTACATTAATTGACCTTAATTTTAATTGACAGCAATTGACATTAATATGTCTTGAAATTAGAGATTATCATTATTCGATTAATATTCAAGATATTCACGTCCTATGTAAGTTAGACCGGTTCAAAAAAACTAAATGTCCTTGAAAACTTAATGAGAATGTTCTTATCCTGTTGATCCATTAGCTTCAAAGACCACCGAAACAAAATTACAGCTTCCAAAACTCTTCCATCTTCGTCCCAACACACCCACGCCCGATATATTAAGTTGGTTTTCTTTATACAGGTAAAATATCTAGATCGTGCTTTTTTTTTTTAGTATGAAGGAGTAATGTTAGCTGAGAGATCGGGGGGGGGGGGGGGGGGAGGGGGGGTGGGGGGGGGGGGGGGGGGGGGGGGGGGGGGGGGGGGAGGGGGGGGGGGGGGGGAGGGGGGGGGGGGGGGGGGGGGGGGGGGGGGAGGGGGGGGGGCGTTATTCCAAATAGAGGAAATTCATGCGAGGGCATTCTCGTTAAATGTGGGTTGTTAAGTTCTGATGATGTTGAGAACCACGCCCTTGGATGGGGCCACAAACCCATGTTAAGAAAATTTAATTTCGGAAAACCGTATTTATTTTAGTTTTATTGTTTAATGATCTGAATTTTTACATTTCTACATTTCCATATGTGATAGTAGTGAATAAATTGATGATTAAAAGTTCAAAGTGCTAAAAATTGGAAGAAACTACAGAATCTCTCTGGTCAAAAAATGCGTGTCAATATAATGTCAGTATTCCCAAAAATTTGGCAAAACACTGACATAGACATAATTGAACATAATTGACATTAATTGCCATAAATTGACATTAATTGACATTAATTGCCGTTGCATACACCCCCGGTTGAATTAAATATGTTAAATGTTTTGAATTTCTCCACTAAGATATGACCTGTATGTACATTTTAAATATCGTTAAAACGAATAATTTAAGGAATTAATTCAATTTTTTAAAAAATTCCAATCGTATCCCTCAGTGGAATCGATTTGCAGCCTTATCAAGGTGGACAAGATTTAAACCTATTATTAAATTCATGTATTAAATTATAGATTATCAAAGCCGTTACACGTTACCTTTAGCGTTTTAAATTTCATGTCAACAATAAAATGTAAGTCAATCAGAACTTACTGTTCTCATGGCATATCGCTCGTCATATCTCATCTGTATATGCTTAATAGATAGGTACCCTAAGCTCGACAGGATATATTCAACTGTGAAAAAAGTACAGTGTAAAGTAGAGGGTTAAATGGCCGATTGCGTTATTTTTTTGAATGATCTGTTCGTTATTCTGTCACGAAAACCAGTAATGGTATTTGTGATTACGTCTAGAAAGATGGATCTCGTAATCTGTAAATCTTTCATTATCTTACTGGTCATCATTAATGAATTTTAGATTTTGCAATAGTTTATGTCGTGGGTAATTTTGCTCACATGTATTATGCTCTTAAGTGGAGGTTTGAATCAGTTTTGATTCAAATAGGTATTCGGTGAAGAACTAGAATACAGCCTAGAAGAAAACTAACTTCTTATCAATTTAACTTGAAATTTAAACAGCAGAAATATTATATTCCTCATTCTGCTTGTATACACGTCAGCAACTAAGTGACCGTCATAAAGTCCAATATGAACTGAGCTTTGATACGTTGAATGTTTTTGAAAAAATTTTTCTACCAGTCGGTCGCTTTCCACGACCCATTTTTCACTGCTTTTACTGAATATTTCTTGCATGACCATTTAGCAAGGTCACTGAGGATTGCACAAGAAACGATAAGGTTCTCTATTCCGACAAAGAAAGCTTTGATAAAAGGAACATCATCATAAGACAGGGTGGTCCCGACTCCAGACAGTTACTGCCCAACACAATCCTATAATAACTCGCGTATTCTTATTAGAATTGCACAGAAATTTCAGAGATTATAATATGGGTCAAACTTAGATTTCCTGAAAGTTTCGTCAATTTAATTTTATTACAGTGGGTGTGGCAGCCACTCCTCTTTTTCACTATTTTCAGCGTGGTGAACGCTTTCAGCTAGGAACTTCAAAGTTTCTAGACCACATTTGGATTGATAAGTGCTTTCCCCAAAATTTTTCAAGTTGGTTGTTCACAAAAATTTAACACGAGTTATGACCCTTTTAAGATTTGCCAGTTAAGTAATCCAACACTTAATCAGTGATATCTTCACTCAATCAATGTCTGATTGGTTTGGAGAGCTGCTTATTGGACGCAACCGAAGCCGCCTATAATGCAAATTTCTTCGGTTTTTATGGAATGTCACTATCAGTATTCACTCAATGTGATCAGATCGTCATCCACCAACATGGCTCGTTACCACCTAATGTGGCTCATTGTTGCTCGATGAGATTACTGATTGGGTGACGAATTCACTGATTAAGTGCCGAGATCACGTATCTGCAAATATCTTAAAAAGGGCCACCCTGCTTTAAAAAGAGATTTTGGAAGATTTTTGATTGACAAGCTTT